TTCGTATTTAAAGAAGACACTACGCCTAAGGGCTACTGGCATGTGGCAGAACGAATGGGACCAAAGCACCACAGGGAGAAGGACCCACTACTTCATCGGCTATGTGGACACTAGCCGAAATGTAGCGAACGCACAGTTGGTAAGGTTCATTTCCGGGCATGGGCCCTACCCGGAATATTTCTTCAAGCGTGGCATAAGTCACACAAGTCAATGTGCATGCGGCGACTCAGGCTCACCAGAGCACTATCTAACGTCATGCCCATTAACAGAAGGACTGCATATCAATCTCCCTGAAAACAAATCGCCAGCCGTTCTGTAAATATATGATATAAAACAGCGGCACTGTATTAAAAAGCTGGTACAGTTGATGGACAGACTGTCCGACTTAGATACAGACTTGTGTCAGCCATAGAACAACCCAGCATGTAAAAACAACTTAAGCATTTTAAAAAGGACATGTATTGCAATGTAGGAAAACTGTCATTCAAGTGAATTGTAAGAAACTATAATGTAGACTAGAAACTCACAGTATAAAGACTGCCTGTATTCATACCTGGAAAGTCAGTTGCATTTAACAATGTGCATGTACTGTGTAAATAAATTTCGGCAAATTATACCGTAAGACCATATATAATGAACCGATATATAATGTAGGCATAACGAATGTATGAAAGTGCATATATCTGTAAGCAAAGTAATGTAAGGGAGTGTAATATATGTAAATATTTTTGTGTATCAGTAAGCTATGTATAAGTAAGTTATGCAATTTAAAGTAATGCAATATAAATGCAGAAATGTCTAATAAAAATGCATGGGTTACATATATGTTTTGTATTATGAATAAGGGATATAGGATGTCTAACGCAAAGCAATGTATGTATTGGAATGTCTATTTCATGTACTGGAAAATTATGCAATAAGTACCCAAATAACATGTAATGTAAGTAACCTGTAAGACTATTATGTTTGTAAATATTTGTATCTAAAAAATTAATCAGAATGTATCTGCATGTATCTATATGCAACTGCAAGTATATGTAACCTAAGTTTAAGCAGTGTAGGTAAAATTAAGTAATATGTGAAGCAGGCGTGCCTGACTATGTATGTATATAAAAAAAATGTCACGCAAGGCACATGTAATATTGGCATATGTATCTGTACATGCAAACTGTATTTATATGCAATCTACAAGTAATGTAGGTATATTTATTGAAATGTACAGCTAAAAACTGTAACTGTACACAAAAGTAATCCAACGCAATGTAAGATTAATGTAATTCAGGTAATGCATATGCATTGTATGCCGGAAATGAGAGACAAAGTCAGTATGTAACTCTGTAAATCACGTTATCCATAGAATATGTTAACCAGCAAACAAGAATGTAATACTAAATATTAACAGCCCTTGTATGGCCATGTAATTGCTCTTTTGAAAGACTCAAGGTTCAACTCTAGATATTGGTGGACGTGGCACTACACCAATTAACCGACGGTAAAGGGGTGGTGCCCACGTCCCCCGTCGCATGTGGAGTTGGTTTGTGCTTGGAAAAATGTTTCCAGTTGTACCACACAGGATTGAATTACTGAACTACTAATAGGTATTCACTTTTATTTTATTTTTTTTTTTTTCATTTATTTATTTTTTTTAGAAAATAATTAATTTCTTTCATTTTTAGAGAATAATACTCCACTAGGCTACAAGACTTTAAAAATTTTACCCATGTACTTCAAAATATCAATTTTTTAACTACTTAAGTATATTTTATTTTGTAGTAAACATTTGATTTTTCCAATAAAAAAATTTGACAATTTGTGTACCTAAATCCTCAAAATAACTTGACAGTTAAAGGGTTAAGAAGATACAAAACTGCTTTTTATTTCATCTTTTGTCTCACTTAAAATATTGCACTAATTGGATTACTGGATTAATTGGATACAACTTACAATCATTTTTATTACTTTCATTAACACACAAAAAGATGACAGATTTTTATAAAATACTTTGGTCTTAATTATGTGAACTTAAAAATTAGCAAACTTTTTTAATGTTGCTGATTTTCTGGTTTTTTTATCCAAAGATATTATTTCCCCAATATAATTTTTCCATCATGAGATATAAAATTGCATTAACATATGTCACAAAAATTCATAAATACTTTCCGCAAAATACAAACACTATTCATTTTATTGATATTTTATCAAACCACATGCAAACAGTGCATGACACTACCTGATAGACTTTGCAGTCACCAATTCATATCAGATTTTCAGGTTGGCTTGAGAAAATTTTGCCATGGTGCCAAATTCAATCAATGTATTTTCACTGGTCATTGTACAACTCCCTAGCCAAGGAGTACTTGAAAGTGACGTGACACAGGTGAAAAATCGCATTTACGGCACACCCACTTCCTTGAGTTTATTCTTAAACTTTGTAAGGCAGGATTCTTTTATATAATTTTATTTATTTATTTTGGCTGGTGATTTGGATCTTGGATCATTCCAGATACTGGTATCCAGATTTCAGGATTTGTACTAAAAATGTGTTGCTCCTCATCTTACTTAATTATTTAATAAATCTATCCTACTTAATTACTTAATAAATCCATGTTTCATCAATGTATCCAATGTCCATTAAACAGTGTTTATAGAAGGCTCAACAACATTTCCTGTGTTCAGCCACATGGCTAGAAATTTAAACACTTTCTAACTGTCAACAACTCCGATTCACTATCGGTGGATTTTCTGTTGTTAATGAAATTATCAGTTTGAAACACTGGAAACACTTACATAACTTTCATCTCTCTTGCATTGATTTTCATTTAAGTCTTCTGTTGTTAATGAAATTATCAGTTAGGAAACACTGGAAACAGTACATAACTCTTATCTCTCTTGCAGATTTTCATTTAAGTCTTCTGTTGTTAATGAAATTATCAGTTAGGAAACACTGGAAACAGTACATAACTCTTATCTCTCTTGCAGATTTTCATTTAAGTCTTTTTTCCATGCAATTCCATTTCAGTTTTTTTTATTATTATTTCCAATTTATAATGCTGCTAGTTTTGCATTTAGAAATTTTAATACCATGCATTTTCACTGTTTTTTACTTCCTTGTACGAAGTAAAAAGGAAGTATAGTAATCGCGAAAAGTTTCAGGCACAATATTTCAACGAAAATATCCACTTTGACCGTTATCGAATGCAATTTAACGATGTTTTTGCGTGATATCTGTACGTAAAGGCAGAATAAACGACTCGTTTCCTCCAAAAAAATTATAAAACTGCTTTAAAATTAATTCTGAAGAGAATTTTTCGTGGCGTCTGTGCGTATCTCGCATAACTCAAAAATGAATAGCCTCAGAACATTGAAATTTTGTATATAGGACTGCTATAACATGTAGATGTGCACCTCGTATTTTGGTTGCAATCAGCCGCACCAAACGTATATATATATATATATCCACTCTGTTACCTGGCTCAGTGATCTCAGTTTCTTTACTCTTAAATGTTTGTAAATTGTACATTTTATGCTTTAAAAATTATTGAATTATGTTGTTTTTATCTTCTGGTTAAGGCTTTTATGCCTTTAGTAAATTTGTATGGAATATTTTTAGAATTATCAACAATTTTAAAGTTGTTTAAGTGCCGCTAAGCCCTTTTTTTATGGCGGCCATTGATTGTTTACATTTGAAACAGCAGACTAGTGGATTTGTTGCCAATCTAGAGAAACTTAGCTTCGCAACAACAAAGATAACGCCTTCATTTATTATTGCCAATTAAATCATGCTTAATCCTTTCTGGAATTTTTTCGAGGAAATAAGTGTTTAAGATTTACTTCGTAATTTTTAATATAGATATTTTGAGTTTTTATATATTTTTGCCTTCTCGCGAAATGAGAACTGAATTAATTGATTGAGAAATACTCAATCATCTGCGAAAAATTGTTTCTTTTTTGTTTTGTTTGCTTAATTTCTTTTATACATCGTTCTAGCTTTATTATAGTATTTGAATAGAGCATGTGGCAACGATTAGATAATTCTATTCTTTAAATGATATAAATTTTGTGCATTATGAGTTATAATATGAACGAAATATAATACTGTTAAGTGAATCTAGTGCCAGAGTGTCGCTATGGTAAACAAATACTAGAGTGAATTTTGAAGAATGCATTTATTCTATTGTGGTTTATGCGCTGTCGGCGAAGTAGATTTAATTCAATCCAATAAGTTTAAATGAAATGCAAGAAAAAATGCGTATAATTTAATATTCCGTACAAGGAAGTCATGTGGTGTACACATCAGATTTTTTAGTTATGGAATCGAGAAATTTTCTTTGGGAAAGGCAAAAACATATTCATTAACAATAATACAATAGTTTTTTTATATCTGACATGCTGAAAGATAAAAATTTGAAGGTAGCAGGCAATATTTCCCAAGAATTTTTCATTTCACAATATTCGTATATATTTTTAAATCCTTTAATAAAATCCTTCTTAAAATGTATTAACATCCCATATAGAAATAAATCCAGATGTATCTCACATTAATTTCCTAAATATTCAAGATAAAAGTTAATATTATCAAAGTTTTAAATCTGAGTTTATTTAGTACATTTGAATCAATTTTAACTAACACGTATAGATAAAAATGAGAGGGAGGTATATTACTGACCTAAAACTGTAAAAATCAGAATAGCTGCTTTCTTGCATATGGTAATAGCATAAGTAACCAATATAATAATACTATTAACCAAGTGATGCACATGATCCAAATCAAGTAAAAAACCATGAAACAAATAGGGATAATTTTGACATAATTTAAGAAAAAAGAGATCACATAATGGTTGCTGCATAGAATTTATAAATTGTTATTAAAATATTTTGAAGATGCCACATTCCACTCTGTTTATACATGAAATCAAGCCACTATTAATACAGCCTATATGCAAAACTCAAATAATAGAATAAATTTCAGATTAGCTTAATTAAGACAGAAAGATTTTTACCTAAGGCTCTTGTGACAGCTAAAATTCCATTTACTCTCCATGTTCCCATGTGTGTAATATGACCACCAAGACTTTCAATTCTTTCCCTTTCATCCTGGATAGTATAAACCAGTTTTTAATTCATACAATAAATTACTTATAAATTTGAATTCATAAACAGATTTTACAGTAAATTATGTACCTGTCTCTCTGGTTTATGAGGCTCTGTAATTATTGAAGGCTTGCCCTTCCTGACCAGCACAGCTTGAGAGTCCCCTAGCCAAGAGAGATAAATAGTTTTTTCTCTGATTAAGGCACAGACAGCAGTGCAGCCACTTTTTATGTTCTAAAACATGAAAAGAAAATTTTTAATTCATAAAAATTATGTCTTAAATTCAAATAAATTAATTTACCAATTAATGGTAAACAGGTAATTCATAAGCCTACGTACAATGATAATTAACTTAAATTTCTCATATGGCTTTGGGTAAACTATTAGTATGGTTCAACAATCAAACTCTCATGTGGTTTGGGCCAAGACAATAATTACACACGAAAATTAAATTTTCAAAAAATAATATTTTAAGAACATTGCACATTTTATTCTTTCCTTCTTTAAAACAGCAATAAAATTCTAAATTAATAAGAATTACAAAACACCTAAAATAACTGCAAATTTTCTGTAAATCATTATATATTAATTCTTTCTCAGAATATTGATTTAAGGATGTTTAAATACTTTCCTTTTTAAAATTATTTAAAATTTTATATTTAAAAAATGTAACTGCAATACAAATAAAAGTCTTCAGTTAATCTGATTTTTAATGAAAATCTGTTTGCCTCATAATTTCAATTAAGACATTTTACGTTTCTTTAAAATAACCACGATTTTTGAAATATTAAATAATAGGACTATGAGCAGATTATTTAATGACTGTTAAAATGATAGGATCTTACTCCAGTGTAAAATTATATGATCACATAACATAGCACATGAAAACCCTCAAGTGAAAAAATTATTAAGTTCATATTAGAATTATTTACCTATGACTTTCAGATCTTATATCCCATGCCTCTCACTCCATTGACTAATGAAAAAGAATCAAATAGGATGACTAATTATACCCTACTGAATTTAAATCATATTAAGAGCATATATATCCAAAAATAGATGCAATATATATTTTTCCAACATAGAACTAATGGATCCAAATAAATACAAACTAACAATGGTCTAAAAAGATATAAAAATTAATAATATGTAAATATATAACAAATATATAATATGACATTAGGGAACATTAATGATATGTTAATCAAATAATAGCAGCAAAAAGCTTCTTTTCCTTATTATTATTTATACAGTACCGAATCAATTACAAGTATTAAATTATACGGTACAAGTCCGAAATTTAGACTCATCAGGACTTTGGCGATTCCAGATTTGGGATTTTTCTGGATATTAGATCATTAGTTTAAATCTAGTATGACAGCATGTAGAAATTATAAAATTAAAAATATGAAATTGTCATTTATGAAAAAATGAAGTATTTATGATCTAAAGGGTATCAAAATTTACAAAAACAAAAAGCTTAATATTTATTTGTTTACCTTATTAAACATTTCTTTCAATGTAAAGTTGTTTAAGTAACTTCATTTTTTATGCTAACACTTTCTCTTTAATTCTGTTGGCAGACATAATCTCTTGTTTAGTTACATTGTTGAAATCCTGTAACTGCTGTTTCGAGAATTCCGACTAACTTACGAATTGAAATTTTTCTCCTTTTGAGTAACTTCTCTGTCACTTTCTTCACTATCAGTAGCTGTATTTTCTGGATCTAGAACCATACTACAGATTTCGCCATTCATTAATTGTTTGATAATTGAGAAGCATTGTCATCACAATGAAAAACTTCTTTTATATCATCTTCATTTATTACAGACTCTCCACATTTCTTTACAAAATCCTTTAATTGGAAAATTTCGCCTTTGTTTTGCGATATCCGAAAACCTTTAAAATTAGCGGCTATCGTCATCAAATTTAGCTCTCCTTCACTATACATATTTGGCTACGCATCATGAGCTTGGCGACTAATGACAAGTTGTTCTGTTAAATTTTATCTTGCTTCTATTGTGCACTGAAACATTAAGCCTGAATTGTATTAGTTAAGTTATTTATTATATTTATGTCTATTTCTTGCACATGCTTAAGGCTTATCAGAGTTCTGAATAAATAAATTCCCACATATACTTAAGCCTTATTGAGGGCCAGCTTATACTTAAGCTTATTGAGATATCTTACTGCCTGATGCAGTCTCTGTGGGTCTTAAATTCTGTGACTCGGTGCACCCATACGAGCCCTGGTGCTGGTTCTAGGTTTATGTGAACAACAAATCATTTATTCTCAATTCAAATAGCCCTGAATGTAATCTTTGGGTCTATGAATATCATCAAAAAAAAAAAAAATTCTTTTTAACATATGGAAAGAAATTTTTGCTAAATTTTTCCTCGTCAACATTTTTACACATTTAACTTAAATCTGTAATCATCACCAAGCGTAATGCTAACATAAAAGGTTACCATACTCCTTTATTATTCAATTACTAAAAAAAAAAAAAAAAAAATATTAGTCATCACTACACGACTCATTACTCAAGTTGTCATGTTTTGATAAACATGCGGTGATGAAAGGAAAGTATAATAAACAATGATTCCCCAGGTTGACATCAGATCAACGATGTATCTATGTGGAATGTTTCGGTTGAGATGTGTGCGCCAAATTACTGATCGTAAAAATTTATGCTAAAATTTTTCTTTAATTACAAGGCATTTTATTTAGTGTTGAAGTGAAATTAAGAATCGGTACTCTCCAGATGTTTTATTTTTATTATGCACGGAGGGAGGGAATCAAATGCACATGCGTAAAGCCTAGGAGAAAAACGTTGTTGGTGGTTTTAAAGTCCGGATTTTAGATCACTCCGGATAATGGACGCTTGGATTTTGGACTTTGTACTGTATTTTTTTAAAGCACAGTGACGATCAATAAGTAAAAATTTTACAAACCTTTAATGCCTCATTGAGAAAAGAATGGAATTATTTATGGCATGATGGTCCCCCCCCCCCAAAATTTGTAACTTATTATTAAATAGCCTGCCTGGCAAACTGCAAATTTACCATTTTATAAATGATAATAATCATGTATTTTAGAAAAAAAAAATCAAACCTCTTAATCCTTTGACACGTGCGATATTATTTTTATAATTTTTTTAACTAAATACTCTAGAAATTGAATATTATGATCCTAGAGACAAATAATATATGAATTAAAAGGATCTACTCTTGCCCATTGTTCTGTGGGTGGTGGTCGCACTGTGAAACCACTGCGAGTCTAGGACTTTGAAACTTAGTGATGTAGTAGGAAAAAAAAAACTTACCATTTTCCGCACATGTTTCCAATAAATGACGAAATTTGCGGATTTTAAAAAAAAAAATGTATGTAAGAGTTGCATTATATATAATTTTTTTACATTATTTTACAAAGTTTTAAAAAAAAGTCAGAAAAAATTGTCAGAATTGTTAAAGTAAATTGTCAGAAAAAATTAAAAATAAACATTTATGTAATTTTTCTATAGCAAGTGAAAATATAAAGTACCATACATAATAAGGACGTTCGGATAAATGGATGAAAAGCTCGGTAAATAAGGATAAAAAAACTCAATAAATAAAGATAAAAAAGAACTCTTTTTTTTTTTTTAATTTCAAAGAACAAATTTTTTGTGACACTGTTTAAAGCATGTTTTGTCTCTTTGGTACATGCACAGACCCACATTGCACGTTTCGCACATAAAATCTTGTTCTATGAGGTTTCTTCCTTGTACTACAAAATGTACACTGCCTGGATTTAAATTTCACTGGTATATGTCCAGCGTTATTTAGTTTCTTTTCATCTGGCACATGAAATTTGTGGTTTTTTTATGTTAATGGGGGGGGGGCTTGATCTTTTTGGCTTTGTACGGATCGTTCGTTTCCCATTCATACTTATTTTATTCGTATTTCGTCCCAAAATATTCAGAAAATATTTTTAATTTAAATAAAACTTTACGCAATTTCTATTTTTAATTATAGCAAAGTATATTTACATTAAATTTAAACCACAGGAAATAATTTATAAAATCACAATACTAGCTTGAGGAGCAAGTGTTTTGATGTCAGAGAAAAGTATTTGGAAAAGAAACACCTTTTTACTGGGCAGGTGCATGTATTGTTTAGTAATAAAATAACTCTGTGGTTTCAAAGCCCTTTATCTATATCCAGGTAAAAATAAACATTCCTATTTGAAAAGCAAGTGAACGCCATTGAGAAGCAAACGCCAGTGGTTTCAAGGTGCGACAACCAAGCCTCTAGAGGATTGTAAGCATTGTGACACAATACTCTGGTGGTGCAGTGGTCGTGCCCTGAAACCACATAGCAAATGCCATACATATGGAGGGTTTTTTTTATATATGCAATTTAATTACTGCAATTTTTTATTGTTTATGATAGAAATCATGATGTGCGATGACTAACTTTTGAAATTTAAAGTTGTTTTTATTAATAAAAGGAAGTTTTTTTGTTTCATCGAACACGAATTTTAAAAGGCATCCGATCTGAAGTATTAATACTAAAACATATATGATTCTACAGTCATTTTGTGTTATTTAGACGTAAAAGATCAGTAATCAATTCATTTTTCACTCAAAAATTTCGGAAAAAAGAGGAGAAAAAAATTCGGAAAATGGTGGTTTCAAGGCGCGACCACCATGCATCAAAGGGTTAAATAAGTTTATATCATTTTTAAATTTTATGACATTTAGAAAATTTAGTATTTTCATACCTCTTTACTACATGTTTTTAAAAAATTTTCATCTGTAATTCTGTAAGCCTCAGCTATTGCTTTAGGAGTGTCTGTGAGGAAGGCAGGATGTTTTGCAATATTCACATGAAGATGGGCTGAAGCATAACTAGCAGCATCAATTCCAGAGTGCCCATCAAACACAGCATAATAACTATGAATGGGTACATCCTGAAAAACAAATGGACATTCTACAAAGAAAGTTGACATAATTTAAAATAATCCAGAAAAAAGTCCCGTAACACATGCATAAAAAAATTATAATTACAGATATCAAAATGAGTAACATATTTTACAATAAAATTTAATGCAATGCACAGAATTAAAATTTCTAAATATGATAAATATAGCTTCATATAACAGTGAAACATAAACTGAACTTACTTTCAATCAGTTAAGAATTCTAAAGAGCACTTCAGCTGATAAAGTGCATTTCTAAATTAAGAGGCTGTAGTTCACCTGAAGGATTGGCCTTTAATTAAATTTCAACCTTTTACATTCCTAGACTGTTTTTTAAAGTGTACTTTTACAAATTCCTTTTTTACTTCCTTGTACAAAGTAAAAAGGAAGTATTGTAATCGCGAAATGTTTCAGGCAGCATATTTCAACGAAAAAATCCTTTTTGACCGCTATCGAATGCAATTTAACGATGTTTATCTGTACGTAAGGATAGAATAAAAGACTCATTTCCTCAAAAAAAATTATAAAACTGCTTTAAAATTAATTCTGAAGAGAATTTTTCGTGGCGTCTGTACGAACGTATGTACGTGCGTACGTACGTATCTCGCATAACTCAAAAACGAGTAGCCTCAGAAGGTTGAAATTTTGTATATAGGACTGCTATAACATGTAGATGTGCACCTCATATTTTGATTGCAATCGGCCGCACCAAATGTATATAAATATATTTATATATATATCCACTCTGTTAACCGGCTCAGTGATCTCAGTTTCTTTACTCTTATATGTTTGTAAATTGTACATTTTTTACCTTAAAAATGATTGAATTATGTTGTTTTTAATCTTCCAGTTAAGGTTTTTATGCCTTTAGTAAATCTTGCATGCAATATTTTTAGAATTATCACCAATTTTAAAGTTGTTTAGTGCGGCTAAGCCTAATTTTTTTAATGGTTTCGGGTCATTGATTGTTTACATTTGAAACAGCAGACTAGTGGATTTGTTGCCAATCTAGAGAAACTTAGCTTCGCAACAACAAAGATAACGCCTTCATTTATTATTGCCAATTAAATCATGCTTAATCCTTTCTGGAATTATTTGGAATTTCGAGGAAATAAGTGTTTAAGATTTACTTCGTAATTTTTAATATAGATATTTTGAGTTTTTATATATTTTTGCCTTCTCGCGAAGTTAGAACTGAATTAATTGAATGAGAAATGCTCATTTGTCTGTGAAAAACTGTTTCTTTTTTGTTTCATTTGCTTAACTTCTTTTATACATCATTCTAGCTTTATTATAGTATTTGAATAGAACATGTGGCAACGATTAGATAATTCTATTCTTTAAATGATATAAATTTTGTGCATTATGAGTTATAATATGAACGAAATATAATACTGTTAAGTGAATAATCTAGCGCCAGAGTGTCGCTATGGTAAACAAATACTAGAGTGAATTTTGAAGAATGCATTTATTCTATTGTGGTTTATGTGCTGTTGGCGAAGTAGATTTAATTCAATCCAATAAGTTTAAATGAAATGAAAGAAAAAATGCATATAATTTAATATTCTGTACAAGGAAGTCCTGTGGTGTACACATTAGATTTCTTTGATATTAATGTAAAATATATTCTTTCTGAGATATCCTCATTTTCTGTGATATACGACCATCCACTTACCAGAGCTGACAACGTGCAACAGAGGAAAAAAAAAAAAAAAAAAAAAACTAAATATCAAATTCCTGGTTCTTTTTTGCTGATGGATGAAACTGAGCTGCTTCAAAAACAGCAGGCACAAGTGGATGCAATGGTGGGATTCAACTGGTTTAACAGAACTACTTCCTAAAACAATTTTAATTCCACAAACTATCGCTAAATTAAATTATAAAATTAATTTAGGCAGCAGATTAGTACTGATAAATGCAATTTAACTGTATTTAATTGCCCTTGAAAGTGCAATTAAATACAGTTAAATTGCATTTGTCGAGTTCTTTCATTACAGCTTGCGAGTTCTTTCATTACAGCTGAAGTAAAATTTCATCCTTGATTGGTATGTAACTGAAGAAGCACTCCAAAACTGGAAATCCAGTGCTGTATCGTTACCTCTGCTGCTGTGAAAGTGTCTTGATCAGGAATAGGATATGCCACTTGATGAAGTAATCAATGACAACAAGGATGTATTTGTTGCATTAGCAGTTCATGGCAGAGGTCCTAAGATGTCAAAGGCGATACGCTCAAAAGGTGCTCCTACACTATAATGTTTCAGCTTGCCTAGGCTGCGTTTCTTTGATCCTTTCCGACCTGCACAGGCATCGCAAGATCGGCACCACTTTTGCATGTCATCCTTTGCATTATTCCAGTAGAAGAGCTCACAAACTCTCTGGAAGGTCTTCATTATTCCGAAGTGATCTCCTGCAGGGCTGCTATGTATTTCTTTAAGGACATCTGGAATCTTGGAAGTATCAGTTGCCATCAGAAAGTCTTCCATTTCTCTTCGACCCTAGTATGATTTCGGTAGCTTTCTCAGCTGGGTCTTTCAGATAAGGCGTAGGCATTTCCAGGTGAGGATACCTTCTGATGATGGATAATTATGTCCTCTGATAATGAAAGCAGTCTGTTGTTTTTGAAGTCCAAGGAAAAATTATACATCCTTAAAAAGTATAATCCGAATATGCAAGGATCTGCAATCTCTGCCATGTATGCTGTGTGATGGCGGGCGGCACTTCCAAATGTGATGTTCGCGTTTAACTTCCCGTCTATGTCGACTTTATCATCAGACGCAGTCTGGAGGACAACACAGTCTGGAGGACAACACAGGAAGGCATCCAAATGAGTTTAATTGTTTAGCTAAATCTTTCTGAATGATGGTAACATTAGCTCCTGCGTCAATGATCACATTACAAGGAACACCATCGAGATGCCCATTACTTTTGCCACTCACTGCAGAAATCTTTAGCGCTTTAAAGCGGGGTTTTTCACTACTGTTCAAACTCGGCTGCGTGATATGATCATTAATTTGTTTCCTGCGACATTGCTGGGAAATGGTGTAATTTTCTGTACCCTGGAATGTTCTGCAGTTCCTTTGCCTTTAGCTCCGCAGTTCCAGGACATTGGTTTCTTATCACTCCTTTTCCATCCCATGGCATTTAATTGCCTGTTTAAATCGTCTGTCGTAATTTCCGTGCTCTGGGGTATTCTGCAGTTGCTTCGTATGTGGCCTTCAGTTCCAGCACATTGGGATTGGTTTGTTTTCACTCCTATTCCATCTCAAGGCACTGATTGGTCTTGTCAAATCATGTTTTATTTTCTGTGCCCTGGAGTGTTCTGCAACGCTGTCGTATTCAGCCTTCAGTACTACTTTCCAACACTTCAGTACCACAACTCCAACAGAGCCAGTTTGTTCTCATTCCTACTTATCATTCGCTACAGTAAACAACAACAGTTTTCTAAACAAATGGATCGAAATGTTTTCCTCCAGCTTTCATAAGCTTTTTAAATGCACGAGAACATTCTCGTACTTTCTCGATTTTTCTGGATAGCAAGAGTACAATTACGAAATATCTATTTATTAAAATGTTAAATGTGCATGCTTCTGTATTTTAATTTTTCCAGTGTAGCTTTCTCTTCAAGTAAGTCTCGTGCTGCATTGCACGGGAATATAAAACAATTTTAACTAAAAATTCTACTAAAAATAGCTAAATAAATAAAGAAACCATAACAATATTTTGCCTTCTTGAGAACTATTTTGAAAGGCAAGTGAACTTACTTTTTTATTGTTTTAATTTTGTAGAAAGCTATGTTAATCGTTGCATTGCTTTAATTTTTTTTTTTTTTTTTTTAATTTTTGAATTTATTGGTGTTGAAATTGTTTGGAATTTATTGTTATTTTACTTTAAACTTCTCATCAAACATTTTTAACAAGAAACTTCATGCTTCTCCTTATCTATTCCCCCCCCCTATTTCGGACTTTTACTGTAAATCATGTGAAAAAAACATTATCTTTTTCACTGTAAAAAACACATTTTTTTTTCAGACATTTTAGGCTTTACTCTGAAACGCAAACAAAAAATTTAGATAAGTAAAATTGTGGAGTTTCTTGCAAGAACTGTTTCTCCAACCCAGTCCGCGTATGTCAGCTTTTCTGAATTTTGTACACATGTAAATAATTTTAATGAAATTAAATGTGAGATTGCAGTTTTTTATTTTTTTTTTGGGGGGGGGTAAGATGTAACATTAAAAATCAAAAGAAATAGAGCTTTGCTGGAAAAATAAGAATACAGTGGCAAATCTATTTAATATTGTGTAAACAGCAGTCTTATTAAATGTCTTATCATCAAGTTGGCAATGGTTTTGGCGACTAATTTTTGTCACCAAACTTGGTGAATACTTGACAACATTTTAGTCCAGTCCCTGTATAACTGTAATGGGTATTGTAATTCAATAATGATAATTGATCCTATAAGTAACTGTAACTCGTATGCCTACAGGTAATTTCGAGAAGGCACCAGTAATTTCTTGGCAGTTACATGAAAATTATACAAGACTGGCAAAAGCATGAGTTTCTTAGTTGCTGTTTAGTTCAGCGCAAGTTCAGAGTATTGAGATATGTCCGTGTGAGCTTTTTAGAAATGCTTTGCACTGCACTGTGTTTAACATTCTTAGCAGATTGAAGTGCAGTTACTGTACTTCTGTACTTTATGACACTGTGAAGATTTGTATGAGTACTTTTGCAGAAAGTTCTAGAATTGTAATTTGTTTATTTAGGCAAAATTTATCAAGCTATCATCAGTTCAGTGTGCATTCAATCTATTATGAACCTGTATGCAGGTAACAATGAACTTACGTAAACTATTATATGATTAACTTAATATGATTCATAAGACTCAAACTTTATTCTTGTCATCAGACTTCAGAAGTTTTATTTTTAGATTTCCCGCAATACTGGTAAAATGTTACGGAAATCCTCTTTTCAAGTGCCACGGACTTTTTTGTAAAT